ATTTCCAAATATTAACTTTGACAATTCAGAAGGTGAAGAAGTTGAAGGCTATGCCCCTTTGGCATTCAATGAAGAGAATGATTACATTGAGGAAGAGGAGGAGAATGATGATGATGAGGAGGATGATTAGATTAGCAAAATGCTTCTTGTACTCTTGTTTTTCTATGTTTTTTGTTGTGTTTTAATCAATTATGTTATGAGACAATGAATTATGGTATTGTTGGTATGATATTTAAGTATTTAAGTTGATATTATGTTGGTTTTAATTTAGTTTTGTTGCTTGTTATTTATTGTTTTGCTGTTTTTTTTGTATATAATATATATATATATATATATATAATTTTATTTTTTTTGTAATCTTTAATTTTTCTAAAATGACTTCGATCCTTTTTTGGTACAATGTGATTTCTTATTTTTCTGAATTGGCTTAGGCCCTTCTTGAGTTAGTGGAGATAAATATCTTTTCTTTTATGAATCTTTTTCAATTTCTCTCATCTTAATTACCTACAAAATGAAACCACAAAATTTAACTAAAAATTACTTTAATTTGAATGGATTGAATTTCTATATTATAGTTATATAATTATATATAATATTCACATCCTTAGAGAAATTTTCAAGGGAAAAGAGGTGAAACCATGTCATTTTACATAATAATACTTATAAAATTTAAATAAAAATGACAGCTAACAACTTAAGAGGAATTTGAATAAAAAGTAAAATTAATTTTTTTTTGAAAGCATTCCTTCACTCAATGTTCCTTTTAAAAAAACCTATTTTTTTCTTTCATGAAAACTAAAAAGCTAGTTACTTAACTTTCAGGGAAAAAAGTATTTAACTCCTTAAACTTCACCTCTTTTACAAATAGATACTACAAACTTTAACTTTATGTCAATTGATCCTTAAACTTTGTCTTGCCAGCAAATATACACTATAAACTTTAATTTTATTATAATTTATCCTTAAACTTTACCAATTTTATAAATAAATATCTTGATTGCAATTAATTTTATCTTAATTATTTTTTTTAGGTCTCTTATATTACATTGAGATTAAATTACTAAGGTAAAAAATATAAATCATTTATTTATTTTAAATCTTATTTTAAAACCACACTTATTTATTAATTTTTTGGTACATATATATTGGTTTTATTTTCATATAGATTAAAATACCATATAATTTAGAAGAAGAAAAAATTAAATAAAGACTTCTTTTTATTATTTTTATCCTTTTTTTATAAACTCATATTTTTATTATATTTTGAAAAAATAATTGTAACATAAAATGAAAAATTAAGATTAATAAATGATTAATATTTAAGATAAATAATTTAACTCTAAATTAATAATATAAAATTTTTGTAAAAATAATAAATTATCAAATGTCAAAATCAATTAGAATGAAATGAAAGTTGAAAGTATTTATTTATAAAAGAGGTGAAATTTAAGGATTAATTAAAATAAAATTAAAATTCATAATATATATGTATTTATAAATAAAATTTAAGGATTGATCAGGATAAAATAAATATTTATGATATCTGTTGATAAAAAAAAAAGTTAAAATGATTGATTACTCTTTTCATTAACTTTTAATAAGAACTTCAAAAAAATAATATAAAATTGTTCCCACTTCTGCATGGACAAGTAAAACCCAAAAAATAAGTCAAATACTATAGAAATTAGAAAGAGTTAGTTTGTGCTAAATAATAACTGCTATTTAAACATGCATTAAAATTAAAGTAATCGACATTTAATATCATTAACCATACTTTAAACAGGGTCATCTATTATAAAATTTTAGTAATAAAACAAAAAGCAGAAAGACGACTATCTTTCTTCCTCTGTCATTTTATACGTCAAAGTCAAGAGTAAGACCCTTCCATTCCAGTTATATTATAAGATGAAAAGAGAACTACAAATTAAGCACTCATGATTAAATTCTCTTTATGTGCCCAAAATTATTACTATAATAAGCTATAAAGCTCCCTTGGTTGTCCGAAACCTCTCTTGTCTTCAATTCAATCATTAATCGAAGTTGAACATAGAGTACCAGCAGCATAACTCCTCTTCCACCCCTCATATATCTTAAAGCTTCTCTTCAATTCTTTGCATAACTTTCTCCTTTGCTTCTACCCTTTCTTTTGTATTTCGAACGATCAAACAAAATTCTCGTATTAAGAACAATCCATGGCAGGAGGAAGTGGAGGAAGGAACTTGGAGGAAACGCCTACATGGGCAGTCTCAGCTGTTTGCTTTGTTTTGATCACAATATCTATAATCATCGAGCATATCATCCATCTCATAGGAAAGGTATATATATATAAACATGTCAGCACCATATTCTTATACCATGTTCCACAATTTTGATGTATATATAATAGTTGCACCGAAACTTCAACCTAAAACTCTATGTATATATATATACATACAATATCAACCTCACTAGAAATCCCTCATGATTTAAGAAGCTACATATATAATTGAATTACACATTTGATATTGATTAATAATAATATGTTTATACTGGCAGTGGTTGAAGAAGAAGCACAAAAGAGCTATGTACGAGTCACTTGAAAAGATAAAATCAGGTTTGGAACGTGGCGTAGTTAAATTGCTGAAAATAGATGGAGAAAATGTGAACGAATTAATGATGGGTATGGGTTGTTGCAGAGCTTATGTTATTGGGGTTCTTATCGTTGCTTCTAACGGTGGGACAAGGTCCAATATCAAGGATATGTATATCGGAAAAAGTTGCAGGGACATGGCACCCTTGCAGCAAGGACGACGAAAGCCATGACTCAGATAGTGAAGATTCGCAACACGGAACCAATGGTCGTAGGTTGTTAGCGGCGTTCTATGCTTCGGACACGCGGCGTCTTTTGGCCGGAGGAGGAAGCCACAAGTGTGCCCAGGTTGGTATCATTCTCTCACTAAAATAAAATATATTAAAAACTAATATTGTAGTGGTAAGTAACATCTTAGAACACCTTATAAGGAATCTCATATGCCACATCATATTACATCTACTTTTTTTCACTGTTTTTTTTAAGTACCGGAGTTTCTATAAGTAACTTTACTAAAATTTAAGCAACACATAAACAATATATGAAAAGAGTTGATGTGATATAATGTTTCCAGGAAGTTCTTTATAAGCAACTTCACATCAAATGCTCTAAAATCTACCAGATCAATTTTCATTTGGTTTATATGATTTTGCAGTAACTATGAATGAATTACTATTGTTAGTAACATTTTTTTTAACAAAAATGTTAATTAGTATAAATGAAATTTTGTCAAAATTATACCACTGTGATTCCCAACAAATCGCTTCTTATATATTTTATATTTTTAATTAATATTTATTTTATGAAAATGTCGTTCATCCGGGTTGACATTCGATCGTACATTTTTTGCATCTAATCTTTCATATGATTATATCAAATAACTAAACTGATTTTTATAGTTTCCATTCTTTATTTAATGAGTTCATATATTTTTTGAATTTTTTTAGCAAAGAATAAAAATAATTTTACAAAAATATTGTGTTAGCTGTACGCTTCTTTTTAATAATTATACATGCACGTTTGGATGAGAATTTTAATGTAGATTGAGTGCGATACTAGTTGAAACTTGTGATTGAGTAGAATATACTTAATTGGGTATGTTTGTTTGCCTATCTTTCGAAATCAATAAAAAAAGCATTGACTTCTTTTTAACAAAAATTAAATGGTGATTGTAAACATTAAAAACCTTGCTTAGAAAAAGGTTATTAAAAAATTAAAAAAAAATTTATTTTTGAAAAAACAATAAGATGTCAATTTTTAATTAAAAATACTGGTAGTAAGACAGAAAACAATTAACTGTACAGTTGGTGTCAACCCTATTATGTCAAGGTTTCTTAATTGTTTTAGAAAAGTCGTTTTTAATATTAAAATGTACGACAATGAGATGTATTATAATTGTGTATTTTCTTCTATGGTTGTGCCACTTATGTCAAATGTAATAATGTCTCTTGACCCTCTTGGGGGGCCAGAATGTAATGAGAAAAAGCCTTTACACACATGTATATGAAAAAGGAAGGGCAAAATATTAATCTAATGGGGAATCAAGTTGTATATAAACCAAAAAAATTTACTTTTCGATAAGGGTAGTATACAGTATAGGATTAGAAAAGTATTAATTACAACCATGTTATACGCAATCACTGAATATTTCACACATAAGTCTTCTTAATTTTCTATTTTATTTTTCTTTATTTGTTTCTGTCATGTACTGACGATATTCTAATTAGAAAAAGACTAGACCATTAATAAGAGTTGAAAGGCTGAAATTTGTGTGGATGCCAATACTTGCACGGAAAGAGAAATTAAAAAAGGAAAAGGAAATGAAAGTGATTAAGAACATACATGAAATAATATAAATCTAAAATGCTTATATACTAATGGGTTTTGGACAGATTTTTATATTATGGTTATTTTATTACAATATACAAAATGTATACACAGGGTAAAGTCCCGTTTGTGTCATCGGATGGCATTCATCAACTCCATATATTTATCTTCGTGCTGGCTGTTTTCCATGTTCTTTACTGCGTCATCACTATGGCTCTGGGTAGAGCAAAGGTAATATTATTACAGATACATTTTAATTTTCTTTGACAAAAAAAATAATATTATATATATATATATATATAATATTAGCCTCAACCTCAGCATATATTTATTAATTGTGACTCAATAGATGAAAAGGTGGAAACGATGGGAAGAGGAAACCAAGACACCTCAGTACCAATTTTCACACGGTTAGTCATTTTGTTTGAGGGTGAATAAATATTTATATAGACATATATAATTGTATATTTTGTATGAATTGAATTATGTTATATATATGCGTATAAAATTATGGCAGCTTCATGTATATCTGCATGTATACGTTAGGTAACTCATTTAATTTAATTTAATTTGTGGTCCACATTATGTGTATATCACAGATCCTGAGAGATTCAGATTTGCGAGGGACACATCGTTTGGAAGAAGACACTTGAGCTTCTGGACCAAAAATCCTGTCCTCATGTGGCTTGTAAGTCAAATATCCATTTTATTTATTTATTTTATATTTTGATAACTTGGCCAAATCCATTTTAAGCCTCCCACTCATTTAATATATTTTAACTTTTTCTAAACTCATTTATTATAACTCTCTGACTTTGTAGAATGCCTTTTTTTATTTTTTATTTTTTTAGTTTCACTTCACTTTTTAATTAATGACATTAAAATAAATGACTTTTATTAAAGATTGAATTAAATGAACATTAAAAAAAATAGAGACTAAATGATTAAATATGAAATATATGTTAGAAATAATGATTATTTTCATACAAACAAATGACATTGTTTTTTTTTATCATATTCTTAGAGATGAAAATGGAAAAGACTAACATTATAATGAAAGAAAAATAAATTAAAAAACAATAATTCTAGAGAGACATAACCATTCAATTGCACAAGAACGCGACTTGAGACCGGTTCTTGTTCATGACTTCCTAAATTGGACCTTTCTTTGGTGAAAAAATTGGGCTAAGAACCACTTGGCCACTTGAAAATGGTGTTGGGTAAACAAATAGTAGTTTCTCCCGACATATTTATCCTTAATTACCAGGAAATTTTAAAAAATAGACATGTCTTTTATTAACTTGTTTTTTACGAAAGAGACGACAATTTGTAAATATTCAAAGTACGTAATGGTTAATTAATCTAATTACGTATTTGCTGAGCTTTTCCATGGTTTGTTTGCCTTACGACATGATTGCAGGTTTGTTTCTTTAGGCAGTTTGTGCGGTCAGTTCCTAAAGTGGATTACTTAACCTTGAGACATGGATTTATAATGGTAAACGCCTCCTTTTCTTGCTAGTTTCTCTTGTCATTTTCTTCAACAAGAAAAATGCTACTATTCCTTTTATGCTTTCCTAAACAAAATTTTATGATAATATATTTTTTTATTCATGATGAAGCTGTAAAAGGTTTAAGAATTAATATAAAATAAGGGAAAATATAGCAAATAGTTTTCTAAATTTTTAATTGGACAGAGAAACATAAATAATTTTAGTATTAAACTGTAAGTAAATAAAAAATTGACGGAATAAATTAAAGTAGCAAGATAATGTTGTGAAAACAATATTATATAATTCTTCCATTTTATAACTATCATTAACGATTTTTAAGAATAATTAAACTATCAAAATGTAAGTAAATAAAATTTTTAAGATATTAATTTCTTAATTATTATCTTAAAATTCAGCAAAAAAATTATCTTACAATTAAATAATTTTATTTATGAGCATTCATTACAACAATTGACGTGAAGAAAAAAAAAATTCCCTGAAAAGACACGGCATGCTCGGAGATTACGTAAAACATTTTCCATATGCAATAAATGACATGGAATTTAACGTTGATGTCAGGCACATTTGGCTCCTCAAAGTCACTCCAAATTTGATTTTAGGAAATACATAAAACGATCACTGGACGAGGATTTCAAAGTTGTCGTTGGAATCAGGTATATTTTGTGCAATGACTACTATTCCATCTCTTGTCATTTTGCAGTATTTTTAGTAATAGTTACAGAACGTAGTTACATTTGAATTAAATATCTTTATTTAACATCTTATTATGTTTCATAAATTATATTGTAACAATATTTGGATTTCCATGCAAGTCTATGTAATGGTTTATTTTTTTATAAAAAAATTTCAGTCCTCCATTCTGGTTCTTCGCAGTGCTGTTTCTCCTCTTAAACACTCATGGTAAGAAACAATCTCCTTCTAACGTGCAGCCGACGAATTTGACTTATTATTGTTATTTTTTTTGTGTGTGTGATGTGATTAAATCATGGATGGACAGGGTGGTACTCTTATCTGTGGCTGCCATTTATCCCTTTGATTGTAAGCACATTAATTAATTTGGTCCAAATGAGTGATAATGATGTTTATACATCTAATTTGATAATGTTACATTGATAAAATGTAGATCATCTTGTTGGTTGGAACCAAGTTGCAAGTGATCATAACCGAGATGGGCCTAAGAATTCAACAAAGGGGAGAGGTACTGAAGGGCGTGCCTTTGGTGCAACCAGGGGATCACTTGTTCTGGTTTAACAGACCAGGCCTTATTCTTTACCTCATCAATTTTGTGCTATTTCAGGTACATTGCTTTTCTCATGCAATTCATAACAATTAAAAATGGGGGTAATTAATCAAGAATTCTCTGCACTATAATATTGAAATTAATTAGTAAGTAATTAGTAATAACAAACTTATGGTTAATTGAAGTCTCCTTTGTCTCTGTTTTTTCATCCAAACAGAATGCTTTCCAGCTGGCTTTTTTCTCATGGTCTGCGGTAAGTCATGAGTCATCCAATATACATTACATGGTTAGAAGTGAAATTAGCTTGATGATGATCTTAGCTTATATTACCTTTTGAAATCCCAGCTTCAATTCGGGATTCGATCATGTTTCCATTCGCATACGGAGGATGTGGTGATCAGAATCACAATGGGGTAAGTAATTAAAATGTGAATTTAATTAAATTAATTAGTTGGAAGTTGCAAGGCATGTTAATACTTGTCCGTTTTAGGCTTAAACCCTCACGATTTTACTTTTAGTCATAACTCAAAAGACATCTCTTTCATTGAAGAATATATATAAATTGTTATTTCTTATCTTATTTGTATCTGACAACACGCTGTATCTAACAACACGCAGGGTCCTGATTCAAATCCTGTGCAGCTACGTCACTCTTCCTCTCTACGCTCTAGTAACACAGGTAACGCAATGATTACTAAATGAAAAGGTACATCCCCTATGGTTTGGGAGAAATATTAGTGACAAGAATTGAGTGTGTTGGAAACAGATGGGTTCGACAATGAAGGCAACAATTTTCAACGAAAGAGTGGCGGTTGCGCTGCGGAACTGGCACCAAACCGCGAAGAAGCACATAAGACAGAACCGCGTGGGACCGTTGTCGTTGTCGGGGACACCAACGTCAAGCAGACCCACAACGCCGAGTCACCACATGTCCCCAGTGCACCTCCTACGATACTACCGTTCCGAAGCGGATAGCTTCCCTGCTTCTCCTCGAAGGTCTAACTTGGATTCCCAACCTTGGGATAATAGTAACATCAACGTTGATTCCCCTTCTCCTTCTTACTCCCACCACCAATTGGAAATGGCTCCACAAACCAATGACCCCACCGTTGACACAACGCACCATGAGATTGTTGTTGCACGTCATAGCAAGGAGTTTTCCTTTGATAAAAGACCTACTACTAATAATACGTAAATTAAAATTGATTCACCACCAGAAAAAAAAAAAAAAAAAAGATATGAAGATATCTAAGTAGGCCACCAGGATTAATCTTATTGGATTTATTTAAGCTCTTTCATTTGTATAATTGGATATATTATTATGTTAGATTCATTATTATATTCATAAAGCAATCCACTAGTTGATCTTTGAGATTGGTAGCTTGAGATTTTTTTACACTTTTTGTCGGTGCTCGTGAATTGACTTAATTTATTCACTCAATATAAAATGTCAGATCAAGTATTTTTAAAATGTTTAGTATTTCACTGTTACAAACCACTAAAATATGCTTAGCAACATGCTCCACATACTCTTGAATCATGATTGATATGATTTAAATCACCATTGTTAAAGTACGTCTTAATCTTGGATTGAATTGGCTTATGCAATGAAGGCAATTTGTTTTTTCTGACTTCTCGTTAGAATAGATTGTCGTGTGTCCAACCTTCCCTCAGATTTGAAGCATTGGTTTATCTCTAGACTTTCCACTTCTTTCTCTTCCTGCTTTTGCACATCTTGAATGATGAGGTAGTGTTCCATCTTCATTGAATCCTATTTTGTGTTTTGCAATTCAAATTTCAGTTGAATGACACAAAACCTTGTGTATCAACCAAGCTTTGAGTCAATGATAAACTTATATTATAATAAGGATGGACACATGTATCTCTTCACTTTAATTAAATTATTAGTGTATGATTAAAAGTATTATATTTTATATTTTTAAATTTTATATATTAAATTCATTCATGATTGTTTTTATTTTTATTTTTTTATATATGATGCTGATTATCAATTTTTATTCTTTTAAAATGATACTTCCCCTAATCTAAGGTTTTGGATCTGTTAGAACTTCGAGTCATCTCCTAAAATTGCATGAGTGATTCACTATGTGTTACCTTATTTTCAGCATCTTTAATTTATCACGGAGTTGAACAACCATTCTAATATCTGTTAATCTTTGCCATCCATTTTTTGTATGCAGGTATTCATCTTTTTAGACCCTTCAGTAATAAATTTTTTTGGTATACTACTTTTTGCAAAACTTTTTGAAAAATGATAAAACAAAATCTCAAAATAGATGGTCTCATATTAACGTGAGTGAAAAATAAGAATTAATACATTTAAAAATATATCACTATTTCTTATAAATCGGAGTAAAATGTTTCCCTCTTTTATTTCTTATATAAATAAATATAGAAAGCTAAAGATAATATTTATGACGGAGAGTCTTGTGACCAATGAATTATGAAAATTTAAAGTAAAAAATAAATTATTAATCTTTTTAAATTAATTATCTTTTTTATGGTAAAATAATTTTAATGTTGCTCTTAATAGATAATATTGTTAATTTATTTTGTAATGTAATTGATTTCAAATGATATTTAAATAATTTTAATTTTAAAAAAAAATTCTTAATATTTATTTTTATACATAATTTAGACTCTGTATATTTCAATAGCAATTTTTATTTCGTGGCATTTAAAGCTAATACGAAACTATTTTCTCTAGAAAAAAAAAAAAAAGCAATTGGCCTTTTATATAATCAATAGCGTTGTTTATTACTTGGCAAAACGTATGAATTACCATTGGCATTGGACTCTTCATTTAATTTAATCACTCATATTATCTAATGAAAATTCCTTCTTTAAGTATGCTAACCAATTAATAATTATGAAAAAAAAATTTAATGAAAAGAATTTGGGAATTATAAAACAATGAAAATTTTAATATTATGTTTGGTTAAAAGGAAGAGAAAACATAAAAGAGATTTTAATAAAAAGTATATATTAAAAATTATGTTTGACTGGAACGAAAAGATGAAAGGTGTTTTAATGGAGAATAAGGAGGAAAGGTGGATCTTTTACTATTTGATTCACAAGAAAAATAGAAAAAATTTTAAAATTAATTTACTTATATACTCATAATTTAAAATTTTTAAAAATATAAATAAAAATATTTTAGATATTATATAAAAAAATATTTTTAAAATACTTTTTTTTTCTCTTTTAAATTTACTTTGATATTAAAGAAAAGTTAAAATTAAAAGAAGGAGGGTGGCCTCCTTCCATTCCTCTTTTCTTCACCTAAATATTGAATAAAAGAATTATATATATATATAAAATAAAATAAAAAAGTGCTTCTGTTTTGGAACAGTCTTGACTACTAATAACATTTGATTTAGGACTAAAGAGAGTTTGATAAGGTACCCCTTGAATATTAGAGGTTGGGTAGCAGAGACACAGGCATGAGGACCATGATGTCCTAAACTGAATCTAGACAATGCTGTGTTCCAACCATGCTATAGTTACTAACTAAGCCTTTTACTTTGGTTTTAAATTACAGAAAATAATCAAAACAGCTTCAAAAGCAAGTCTTAACTTTTGAATTAATCACTATTAGTAGATTAACTTCTATAAAATTCTTCTAATTTAATTAATAATTTTTAAATTCAAATTCTAAATATATAATTGTATTGAATATTTAAAGAGAAAATTTTGTTTTTAATAATAATTTTATATGACTTGATAAATTTATTTATCATAAAAAATATATTAATGATCTAGTATAAAAGAAAGTTTATATCACAAGGTAGAAGGTCAAGCAAATCAATAAACAAATACTAAAAAAAACACTATTTAAACAAATAAGGTATACATACAAAAAAAAATTAATAAATGGTTAACTACTAAGAGAATTTAATTCAGTTAATTGAAAAGTATGCATAAGTTATAATAAACTTTTTTATATAAAATTTTATAATTTGTTATAAACATTTTAATATTAAGTTTTATAGGTAAAATAACAAATATAGTTTAAAAGGAAGAAAACCAAACAAGTTAATCAATAACAATACTTATTTTTTTGAAAATAATAATACCTATTTAAACAAATAAGATTAATATTATAGTGTGGAAACAATATTCATAACTAATAATCATTGCCTTTACCTATTGAAGGAGAAGTGATAAAAAAAAATCCTAGTTTTAATTAAAATTAATATAAATGTATTTTATTATTATTTTATTCGAAGAGAGGTAACATCATTATAAATGTGAGTACATTCATAAATTCAATCAATTTAACCTAAGAATAACATAATTTAGGTTGGTTGTACCCAGTTTTGATCAATATATTTTTAATCATTTAGTTGAAAGTTAATACTTAAATTTAAGGTATTAAGATTCATTTGAAAAGTTAACATCTCTTAACAAATATTTTTCTATACATATTAATCAAGGATTGAATCATTGATCACATACTAAAATGATAAGGTTATTTATCAATTATGACACACTTTGTTGATAATTTTGATTAGCCTTAACTAATAATCTTTACAACTATTGAATTGATTTTTGTATAGGAGGATATAAAATACAAATAAAATTTGATTTGATCCCAAATCATAAATATTATGAGCGAAAGTTTTTAACTAGTTGTATTAACTTTCATGTAGTTTAAAATAAATTATATGTACATAAATCAAATAGTGGCATTTAAATAAATTCATTTGCATTAAGTCAAAATTATTAAGGCATAATTTTTTTTAGACTTCAATATATTGTTAATCTATACTAAATGAGTAAGTTTTAATTTTGGTCCTTGTAATTTTTTTATTTTTTATTCAAAAAAAAAATAAACTATTATTTTAGTTCATGTTATTATATAATAATTTTTAACTACATATTTATTTATTAAAAGATTAATTAATAATCTCAAGTTTTATTTATAATTACTAATGATACTATATTAATGTGTGATATTTTTAAATTTTTTATAAATTCTTAAAATAAATATTATTCATTTTTTTAAAATTATCACTTGTGATAAAATAGTAATTTTAGAGATGAAAATAATAAAGAAAAATATTTTATAAAAATATAAAATTAAAATTTATTCATTTTACAAAGAGAAAATAAAATATATTTTACAGAGAAAATAGTGTTAATATAATTTAGAAAGGTGAAAAATAAAAAAATAGAAAATCAAAATTAAAGCTGATTAATTTTATATAAAAGTTAAAATACATTTAAGTTAATTTTTATACAAATAACTAATGTCTAATTTCCATTTGAACTTTGAAGTATCAAGGATCTTATAAAATTTTTTTTTGATACAATAACACGCACGCTTTTTACCAAACACCAAATCATTAGTATAAGTGGGCACACGATGATTGTTCTGGAGGAGTGAAATTGACTACATATCTAATTTTAACTTTTTCTATTTATTTTTTACAAATTTCGTTTGATGAAATTCATATAATTTCCAATAATCCAACTTAAACTAAAAAAAAAAAAAAGAATTGCAAAACTAGCTGGAGCCAATTCAAAGAATGGTAATTAATTTGATCTTTTACTTTTCCTCTGATCAAATCCAAGTTTACCCATGTTGATCCATTAAATAATGAAGAGTATCAATTTCCTTTCAACATAATCACGATTCATGCACCATCCACATATACACATGAACATAATCAAACTCATCTTATCTTATTACTATAAATAAATATAGTATTAATTAAGAAGTGAATGGAATGATAGTATTAAATAATTGTTTCACATTTTGGGGACATAAATAATTCCATAATCGCAAATCTCCATTCCCAACTCTGTTCCATCATTCTCCGACACAGACTACCATTCCCTCGTGATCTTCGCCACATGGCCAGAGGCGCCTCTCAATCCCAATCCACGGCTTCAGCGCCCACCACGCGACCGGGCGTCATGGCCCC